GGTTGTCAACAAATATTTTTCGTCGATGAACTCAACACTAGTTTAAAGCAATAAACATCGAAAGAAATTGATCAGCCTGCTGTTGTTAAATGCAGACTGACGAGACGGACATGGAGGCATATACTATTATATAACTGCCTGTACTCTATAGATGAACTTACAGGTTAAACATTTAAAACAAGAACTCCTGAAATGGATAATGTGAAAAACAAAGATTCTGCCTTGAAACAGGAAGTCTAATAATGACCAATTTTGAAACTGCTATAAACCTAACATCAGATACACCTAACCAAAGAAATCTTTGCTTCAAGGAGCAAACTTAAAGCTTCCATAATAATAATAATCATTTTTATATTACAATGGGACAAATTGTTCTAGTGAGCCCACCACATTATCACCAGCTCTGCAGTTCCCTGTTTAGATTTCTTTCTTTAGTTGCTTCACTCTTGCCACTCTCACCAGCCTAGCTTCTAGCACGCTGCAGTTTCCATTGAAAATACTTTGTTGAACTTCCTCCTCAGCACCAAAACCGCAGACGGACACAGTTGGCAACTAGCTGTGAACATACTGCAGCATTTAACAAGTACGACTGACGTAGTGATGACTTGATTATCAAAATTGTTGCAGATCAATATCTTTATCTTCTTTTTTGTCAGTTGTTTTAGCTCAGAAAGTTACATTATACGGCCTGACGTGTTGCAGGTGTGGCGCTTGTCAATGATCAGTTTGATGATCTAGTGACTGACTGAAGAGTATCTACATCATATATGACAATTTACCTTTCAAAGTGAAGTCTTGAAAGCACTGCCATCATACTGGTGGAGAGTCACATGATGAAACATTTATTTCTGATCGCTGTTCTTGTAGTTGTCTACAAATCTGCAAAGTATAACACAAACTAATAATACCATGAAGTGAAACTAACAAGTCTAGCTTTGTGCTCTCAGATGCTGCCTGATAGTATTTAATGTAGTTTATCATGAACGCTCCTGTTGTTTTTGAGAGGTGTTTGTTTGACTTTGTCATTTTGGAGGATGTGGTTTGTGGCGCTATTGCATTATACTGAGAGGTGTTTCAAATATTTTGTCCACTATCTTTATAACAGTGAGGGTAGAATAAATGGAGATTTAGAGAAAATAAGAGAAATCTATACATTACAGGTGGAAATTATATCCAATTCCAGTTAAACAGGAACATCTACCCAAACTACTTCTTCTCTATTTTGGTCTGTATTTCTTAGGCAGCATTTATATATTTTCTTGTTCCTGTATTTTACACCACTGATGGTCACAATTATATTTTGGTCACATACACGTGTATTTTATAAACTATCTTCCAAAGACGGATTCAAGGTGTATAGGAGTTGAATTAATATCCCTAATCCAATTTCTTCCACCAAAGAATTATTTTGGCTGATCATTAAAACTTTCACCATTATGTCCAGTGTCTTTTTCAGAGACAAACAAGTAATCTTTACTACAGAATGGTAGTCGCACATAGTGTAGCGAGAAATCGTACTGTAGTGTGGGTTAATATACAAAGAGAAAACCAGGTGTGCATTGCCCGTCCAAGACGTTCTGAAATGTTACTTTTGACAAAAGTAGGAGTTTAACTATAAATAAGTAAAATTACAGGTACCAACATTCATTGCATTTTTTCATTTTTTTTTTTGGTGATCGTCTTTTTTATTGTTCTTTTGCTTTAGATGTAAAAAACAAACCACAATTTATAAAACCAACAATACAATAGGAAACGAAACAAAAAGCAAAACCTAGTGCAAGTATATTTGTAGTAAATTAGCCGATAATCTTGGTTTTTAGAAGTAATAACAGTCAAGTGGATCCTCTCCAATGTAGTACTTCAACTCCTTAGTCCATACATGTATAATGCCGAGAGCTTTATAGGAAGTAATCCAGACGTGTGAGAAAGCAAACCGCTTTTTCGCTCCCTCCATATGCTTACATGGATGATTGCAGTTGGAGATACAGAAAAAATGCTGAGCTTGGTAACTTTTAAGACGGTTGCAAATCCCTAAAATTTGCAGACACTGTTCTCGTTATAAATGTTGGTAAAAGTATGGACACCTTTAGTAGTACTTCAGGCAGAATAATCCAGAGAATAGTTATTAAAGTTTGGGCTACTAAGACGTGCATTGCATCTGGTTGATGACATGGCAGAATCAACAGCTGGCAGACACAACGGCAGCATTAAATCAAGTGGAAAGAAGAGCAGCTGTAAAAAACAAACATGCCTACTGGACGCTGCAGCAGAACAGCCTGGCACCGCAGCCAAATTACAACACACTCACAGACAAAGTGAAGTCTTTGAGGGACTAAACCCTCGCATACTTCAGTTGTACGTCCTGTGACATGTTCACTGTCGTCACGTTTAGTGTGAGCAGGACCTCAATCATTTCAATGGTGATTAGTTGACATTTTTCTGACCCTCTAACTGATTTTAAAGTCTTTTATTAACTGATTGTTTATGGGGTTTTGGACCCGTATAACAGAAAATTAATTTTCTCTTTTGCAGGCTTTGCCAATATTAATAAACAGTATATTCACATCAAACTCTGAACCGACGGCCGTCACATTTTAAGAGCATTAAAACCAAAATCGTTAGGCTAAAAGTAAAAATGCAAATTAGTTATCTTATGAATCTGTGCAATGTCAATTCACTCCATCAATAAATGTACTGTAAAAAGAAATGCTACATTTTTATCATTTTCTCACATCACATCCATATTGCTATGAACTATGGGTAATCTTCCAAGCAGAGTCTGGTGAAGGACATTCGGACTGCGTGGAAACCTGCCTGAGGCCCTTTGCAAACTTGATGAATTGTGGATCTGTGCCGCCCAAGGCACTCATGGTCACCCCTGGCATGCGTCTTCTAAGTCCACAAGTCTGCAGTTTCGGACATTTTGGATTCAGCCTGCGTGTCACCATTGATGCCCTGTTTTTATCTGACAGTTGAGAAGATGTCACAGTTAAGTTTGTCATGCAGGGTGACAAAGCCCTGCAGGACACAATTTAATTTTGAGGCAGACGTCCAACACTTGTAAAGTTGCTCCAGAGAACGTCCTTTTTTAAACGGCTGTACAAACACCGTATAGATGCAGTCCTCCACTGTGACGGTGAAGTGGGTGGTGGCAGGTTGTTTTAGACCTGGAATAGCAGCCACTTTGTTTTACTTATTGGCTAATGAGGTGTAAATGGAGCAGGTCGCTGGTATAGTTATTTTTTGGGAATGTATTGAATTTAATATGGAGCAGTTACTTCCTATCGTCTTTTCATCACTGTTGGGTTGCCAGGCAACCAACGGAGACTCCCAGCCAAGAAGTCTTCCGGCACACAACCTCCTGTAAAACCACAACATGTTAGTTTCACACTTACTGATTTGAGATATGTGTTAATTAGTGAGTTAATTTTTTTGTTCTTTTACACCAGGCTAGCTGTTCCCCTCTGTTTTCAGTCTTCATGCTAAGCTAACCGGCTGCTGCCTCTAGCTTCATGAGAGCGGTGTCCATTTTCTCATTTAGTTCTCGGCAAGAAGGTAAATGCGTTACTTCCCAAAAATGTTAAACTATTCTGTTATGTCACTTTTCAAGCAAACGCTTTTGGAGATGTGCTGTGTTTTTTTGTCTTATGTGATAAAACTGGATATTTATAAATTGGTCATTTTGAACTATTTTCTGACATTATATACACCAAACAATAAATCAATGTATCGAAAAAACAAACAAAAGTTTTTAATTGACTATTTTAATTGTCAACAATTTAGCAGACGATTAATTGCTTCTGTCATTGTTAAAGCAATAAGTGAACCTGAAATGCTAAACATTGTCTAGTTACAGCTTTTACAATGTGAGGATTCACTTCTTTTCTTTGAGATATTGTAGTGTACCGATTGGAGAGTTGAAGATATAGTTGATGATTCGACCCTACAGAACATGCTTCCTCTGTTCAACATGTATCTGCTCATTTTTTCTCTTTCTTCCTCTCATCCCACCACATAATTATCCTCCTGAGGGCAAATGACCCGCAAACATTTGACCGATCTCCTCATCCCCAAACGCAAATGCTTCCCCTCTCTTCCTCTAACATATTTCCACATTGGATCTTGGTTTTGCGCTCTACAAGATCTATGCTGTATATTCCATCAGGCTCCTTTGTTCATCGCCGTCTCCTGCTAACTAAAAGTAATTTAGTTGTCCTTTGCTGCCAGTGGCGCATTTCCATGTTTCCTGTTTTGTACTGTTGCTTTGTGTAGCTCTCACAAGACTGGCTCTGTCCTCCACCCCCGCCTCTCCATATGTGCCATCCATTTATGTTGTTTCACCGCAGTTTCTGAAGCACCCATCCTGATTGCTGCCAGGTGAGGCAAACTAGCTGCGCACCCACATGCATGCCTAAAGGAACACAAACATATTTCCACAGTGGGCTCGTGTTGAGCATTGGTGCATATAGATGCCATTTGTTTGTCGACAACATTGTCATTGGGCAGCTGTGCGATTTCCAGTTTGTTCTCTTCTGGGTTTTTTTTTTTTTTTTTTTTTTTTTGGGTTTTTTTGCTGTTAAATGACATTTTCCACTGTGTAACATTTGACCCCGGCCAGGTAGACATGTTGAAACTGCTACACAGGGGATTACTGTCTGACTCCTACCCCACTTGTCAATGGTGTGACGACCCTCTCTGCCTGTTCGTTTGGCTGCCTTCCTTGCAGGTGTGGAGGTGGGTGTGGCAGAGTGGAAGCACCTGAGGCCATTTGCAACACTGGCCCTGTGTGCCAGAGCACTCGGTACAAAAACCCTCTGGATCTTCAGTTGGCTCTCGCTCCTTCCTGAGACACCCGCTTTGGTTTCAGTTATGGTTTGTTTTTACACTATACAACACTGCATATACACTTTACATGCACCCACTCACTTACACTGCTGAAATGACTGACTTCACATGTCACTGTTAGTTTATGTTTGTCTTTTATATTACTTTAAACTTAATAAATAATTAATCAACTGTTCATTTAATGCGTCTCCCTTTTTTGTCATGGCCGTTCGGCCCGGTTTGTGACGATGGCTTTAAAGCCTCAGGCAGAACATGCTGTAAGGTTTCAGAAAGTATTTAGCGTGCGTGCGTGCGTGCGTGCGTGCGTGCGTGCGTGCGTGCGTGCGTGCGTGCGTGCGGATGTGTGTTTGTCGGAGTAATTGCATCAGCGTCTCTGCCGTTATTTTCTTTCTCCCATACTGTCTCTTCACCCTCTGGCCCAGTTGCTCCCTGCTGTCTTCCCCCTGCTTGACCAGGGTCAGTGGATGAGCTTTGGCCTCCTCTGCGGAGCGGGGACCGCGGATCACTTGTGCAGGACCCGGCAGAGAGAGGAAGCTGTACAGTAATTAGGACAAGAGGAGGCCTCTCTCTCACTCTCACTCTCTCACTTACACACACACACACACACACACACACACACACACACACACAGAGACGCTCCCACATTAAGAGACCAAAACTCATCATTGCATGTGGTTGAGAGGATTGTAGTTTCTGATGTGAGGGAATTTAATGCTTAATTTATTTACCTTCATTGCTGTGTATTTCACTTTGTAAGCCATCAGTGAACCTAACGTGTCATACACCAGAGTATTGGAGTAAGTCATGCTGATAATGACCATATTTTTATTATTTGTGGGGGTTTTTTTAACAGCAATTTAAATAAGCAAAGGTATCATGTTGGATGTTTTGAAGTAAATGTCAAAAATCAAAGTGCATTTCAGTGGAGCACCGGAACAGTGGTTGTTCCAATGATGATAGCTAAAGGGAATTCTTCCCCCCCCCAGAGAGAGAGAGAGAGAGAATTCATATCTGTTTTAAAATTGCAATTCCTTGAACGATTTTGGGTTTGATTATCCCCAAAGTAAGAAACAAAGTTTCTTGGGGGAAAAGGGCTATAAAAAGGATTCATATTTTGCATGATCTTTAATTTTGTTGTCTGAGAAGTCTGTCAGCAGAGTTTATTTCTTGTTGTGAAAACAAGGAGATTTAATTAAGAAAGCTGTAACTTGGTTCCAGTTAATAGATGGTCCTAAATAATCTCTTTGTGTTAAGAGTGGAAAGCAGCCAAGTTCTGGCCAGCAGGAGGTATTTCTTTTTTCATGTTCACTCTTGACTAATAACTTTTACCTCTCCTCTCCTTAGGGTTCTGTCAAATCCTGGAGGACACGGTTAATGAAGAAATAGAAGCATCAGTTGATGTGAGTGTCTCAAACTTCTACTCTACTTGTCCATATTCTCCCCTGAGCAGTTTCATTCTGATCTTTCTTCTTTTCCAGGCCCTCCAACTGACCTGCGCTAAGTCTTGGCCGTGGGGCTTTGTTGTTGGTGGGCCAGCTGAACAGGCGTGTATGTGAATGAGCAGTAATGAAGTCCAGTATGAGGCAGTGGCGGAGGCTAGTGCTGGTGGGAATGCTGGCCTGGGTTCTCCTCTTCCTCGCCCTCCTCTCTTACTTTCTGGACGCTCGTGTGAATGAGCCGCTGGCGTCTGTAGGCTCTTTACTCTCCCAGCACCCAGACACCCGGCGCCTCACTTCTATACAGGCCTCCCACCAACAGCATGCCAACCTGGGCTCACGACCTGAACTGGCTTCCACACTAACTACAACCTACCCCAGAGATGAGCCAGAGCCGGAGCCCTCTGCCAGCTCCACGACTCCAGAGCTCAGCCTGGATGCGAGCCACAGCCCCAACAGTGCTCCCTACGCCGTATATGGCAGCCAGGAGACCAGCCACCAGGACTACCTAGACCCACAGAGCCTGGCTGCCTGGTCCTCCTTTGGTACAGAAAATGTGGGTTCTCATTCAGACCCTTCAGTCCAGAGTCGTGAGAGAACTTCCCATTACCAGAACCACATCAGCGCCACACGCTACCGCAGTGGGGAGGAAGAAGAAAATGAGAGGGACAATAGAGAAGAAGAACTAGGAAACAGAATGAGGGCTACAGCAGGCAGGAGGGTCGGTGGTGACTCCTCTGATCTGGAGGAATATTACTTCTCCAGGTCGACCCCTATAGTGCAGCGTTTGTGGCGGGGTCGTATGTCCGCCAAAATGCTGATTCCTCGACTGCAGCGCGCCATGAAGGACTACGTTAGTGGCAACAAACACCATGTTTCCTACACAGGGCATCGCAGGGCCGCCCAGAGTGCCAAGGAGCTGCTGTGTCAAATGAAAGCCCATGCCCGGATCAGGACAGTGGATGGGTCAGAGCAGCCCTTTTCCTCACTCGGTTGGGCTCGTCTTGTGCCGTCTCGCCCCCTGGAGCGACTTCACAGAGGGCAGGACCAGAGCGGCTTCAAGACCTGTGCCGTGGTCACCTCGTCTGGTTCGATCCTGCGCTCAGGACTGGGCAAAGAGATCGGTGAGTGGAGAGAAAAAAGATTGTGAACATAGGCAAGAAGGGGCCGCAGGGCTTCTTTTGTTAAATGAGGAAAAAGGGTTTTGTAGAAAAAGACACTGTATATTATATTCGTGAAAGCAAGGTATGTAAAAAAAAAAACGAAACATTGTTTTTGCATCAGTGCTAAAACGTCATAACTATCGGATAAGGTATGACACACTGCTACAAAAGATATAAGCTGAAAGACTCTGATTATTAATTATGGTGTTTGTGGTCAGACCATGTTCATGGCACGAATGAAAGCTCAAGTGGTCATGAAAAGTTAGTCAATCGAAATGCCACAAAGTGCAATGGAAAAAGGCTTAGCGAATTAATCACCACATACAGTTGTGTGAAAAAGTGTTTGCCCCCTTCCTGATTTCTTATTTTTTTGCATGTTTGTC